TGCAGCTGAAAAATTTGTGCAGGAATTCCAGGGGTACATAGAGGCTGAAGGATTCAAACCCCAACAAGTGTTCAATTGTGACGAAACAGGCCTTTTTTTGGAAGAAAATGCCAAACAGGACCTACATTACCCAGGAGGGAAAGGCACTGCCAGGATACAAGCCTATTAAAGACAGGCTTACTCTTTTGTTGTGTGGTAATGTAGTGGGGATTTCTAAGTGAAGCCTTTACTTGTGTATCACTCAGAAAATTCAAGAGTGTTCAAGAAAAACAATGTCATGAAGAATAGATTGTGTGTGATGTGGAAAGCTAATCATAAGGCATGGGTCACAAGGCAAATTTTCAAAGAGTGGGTTAACCTGTAAATGGTCCAAGCAGATCTACGCTCATATGTGTAGTGCTCCAAAAGTAGATCTACATTTTTGTTACATATTTTCAAATATAACAAAAAAAAAAAAAGAGTAGATGAAAGTTGTTTACACTTTTTCAAATGTAAAAAAGAAGAACTACTTTTTTTACATACTTTCAAATGTTGAAAAAACGTATATATACGTTTGGACCGTTTACAGGTTAATGTGTTTGGCCCAAGTGTGAAAAAATACCCCCTGGAAAAGAAATTGCCACTCAAGTGCCTCCTGTTACTGGACAATGCTCCTGCACATCCTCCAGACTTGCAAGACCAAGTGTTTAGGGACTCCAGTTTCATCACAGTGAAGTTCTTGCCTAACACCACTCCTCTCCACCAGCCCATGGACCAGCAGGCCATTTCTAACTTCAAAAAACTCTACACAAAAGCAGTGTTTCAAAAATGCTTTGAAGTGACGTCAGACACTCAGTTGACCCTGAGAGACTTCTGGAGGAATCACTTCCCTATCCTCCATTGCATAAGCCTTATAGGTAAGGCTTGGGAGGGGGTGACTTCCAGGACTTTGAACTCTTCTTGGAGAAAACTGTGGCCAGATTGTGTCAAAGAGAGGTATTTTGAAGGGTTTGAGGCTGACCCTGCCAACCCTGTGGACTCTATTGTGGCACGGGGGAAGTCCCTGGGGTTGGAGGTGAGTGGCGAGGATGTGGAAGAGTTGGTGGAGGACCACAGGGAAGAGCTAACCACTGAAGAGCTGCAAGAACTTCAACTTGAACAGCAACAGACTGCAGCTGAGGAACTTGCTTCAGAGGAGGAAGAGGGGAGACAAGGAGGTGCCTTCTTCAGAGATTAAAAAGGTGTGTGCAGTGTGGACTAGGGTGCAAGCTTTTGTAGAGAAACACCACCCTGACAAAGCTGAAACAAGCCATATCTACAACGTGTTTAGTGATAAAACCCTGTCCCACTTCAGGGAAATCTTAACCCCTTTGAGGGTCAACAGGCCCTCTCCGAGACTCGTTCTCAGGGTCGCCAAATTTAACCCTTAAACGGTCCAAACGTATATATATGTCCACGCGCGTAGCGCCCCGAACGTATATATACGTTTTCTTTGTCATTCATTCAACATTGCCACAATAAGCCTGAGACACCTAGACATGAGAGAATGGGTGTGTGCACTCACTGTGTGCCATATTAAAATAATTGGGGATGCTGGGTACCATATGCTCTTTTTTCCTTTTAAAAGAAAAGATTGTTTTTTTCCTCAAAAAAGTTGGGGCGCTACGCGAGTGAATGTATATATACGTTTGGACCGTTTAAGGGTTAAAAAAAAAAAAAAAAAAAATTCTTATGAAAAGATAGAGAATCTTTTCCCGATCATAATGACACCAAAAGTATGAAATTTGATGGAAAACTTACGGAATTATGCTCTCGCGAAGTTAACGGTCTCAGTGATGTTTATGCATCGGTGATTTTGCCCACTTTGAGCCCAATTTTCGGCCAATTCCACAGTACTAGTCGACAAAAAAACATGAATATTTTGCTAGAACTCTCATTTTTTCTATCGAATGAGTGCAAGAAACCAGACAAACCTGATTTTTTTAGCTAAAATTCATGGATTTTCAAACTTTTTTATCAGAATTACTGATGGAATTGAAATTTTCGAGCCTTTTCAACATTTTAAAGTATATTACATATTTTTCAAAATGTTGTTGCCTCCCTGTCAGGTATTCTCTGATCCATTGCAGTGCCCTTCCTGTTATACGCGCCTGATCCTCTAGTTTCTGCACTAGCCTCTTGTGAGGAACTGTGTCGAAGGCCTTCTTGCAGTCCAAGAATCAACTATCCAGTACAGTGGTCAGAATTTAGCAATTTTGCCAATTTCACACAAATTTCAAAAGATGCCAATTTCCAAATAGGGTCTAGAATAAACAAGAAAGACATTCCTGGCACTAAAATGACATTTCCTCTGTTCATTAGTCACGTCTCAAGGCTCCTCTTACATTCTTTTGCTTTCCACTTTGAATTTTTATTTTCACAAAAAATAGAAGATTTACTGTTATGCAGACTGCTGCATTAAGTGTAAAAAATGGTATAAATAATATTGGCGCACTTGCGAAAGAATATAAGACTCACCAATTGACATGTATTGGATGCTTGGCATGATTTGTTTACTTTTGAACTTTGGTAAAAATCGAACATTTCTGCTAGTTTGAGCTCAATTTCAAGGTACTTTTCCTTGTAAAACCAGTCAAAATCATCTCAATTTCTGTAATATGTCTTCCATTCTATAAAATGAGACCAAGAAAACTAGAATACAACAATAAATAGCCATACGAAAATACAGTGCAAAGTCGCTTGTTTTATTCCAAAAAAAAAAACAAAGTTTTTTTTTCTCATTATGCACTGTGTACTGCAGGTTTTTTATACTGTGTACACTGACCACATAGACCCATTCTTTCATATGTAGGCCTACCAGCTTTCTCCCACTAGATTTGAGGGCACTAGAATTTAGGCGTACTAGTACGTCAAAAACCCTGGGTCGTAAGCCATACTAGTACGACCAAAACCCCCAAAGGGTTAAAGAGACACCAGAAACAGAGCACTCTGGACAGTTATTTTGTGAGACAGGGGTCTAGTGACTCTCAAGCTGGTCCTAGTGGCATTAAAAGAGAAAGAAGGGAAGTAACCCCAGAGAAGGCGTTGCTAAATAAAGTCTTTATGGAGAGGGATTCCCTTTCCAAAACACTAACTCCTCCCTCTTTTCTCTTCCCTATCTTCCAGAAGCCAGCATTAGCCTTCAATAAAGGTATGTAATACTTACATAATCGATAAAAAAAAATTATTTTTTTTGTGAATATTTTTGTCTGGAATGGATTAACTGTATTTCCATTAATTCTTATGGGAAATATTAATTCGGTTTTCGGCCATATCGGTTATTGGCCGACCTTCTGGAATGGAATACGGCTGATTACCGGGGGTCCACTGTATATAAATCTGGGATGAATGGAAGGAAAGGTAGGGTAAAGGATAGTTTGAATGCTAAGAGCTTAATTAGTCAGTCTGAGTCTTGGAAGTGGGAAGTATAGTGTCTGCACTCTGATGGATAGGTGGGGAAAGGTTGCACTTTAGAGGGTCATTTGAACTGTGATGCTTGTGCAATGCTGGCAAATGTGATGAATGGTTTTGAAAACCGACAAATTGAAGAATTGAGACACTTATGCAACATATGGGAATCTTTATTGAAGAAACATTTTGCCACACAGTGGCTTCATCAGTCCTATACAAAGCAGGAAGGTATAAGGAGAGTAGTAGTTTGAGGTAATCAGTCACTCAGCCTGGAGTCAATGTAGAAAGTACAGCACCGGGCCATAGCAGTGGCTTATCTACTGTAGTCAGGTAAAGCAAAGCAGGAGGAGGCAGGGTCATAGTAGAACCATCCACTAGTCTAAGTAAGTCTTCATTCAAAGGTTGGACAAGTTTTGAAGAATTCTTTGTATCAAGATCCCATGATGATGCAGTGTCTGACAGATGTGATGAATGGTTTTGAAAACTGACAAGTTGAAGAATTGAGACACTTATGCAATATATGATACTGGCAAGACAGCCATTGATTGAGCAATGGTAAGTGTTTCATTTCTGAGGTCACCCTACCTTGGTGGGAGAGAGCTGTTGTTTAAAAAAAAAAAATCAATAGGGCCCTACCTTGAGTCAAGGTAAACAAATACATTTGTAGCAAATGACAAAATGTCACTGTACAGTAAATATGAGGTGTTGCACAGCAAAAAATAATAAGCACCACCACAACCAATGTGGACTAGTGAATAAATCGATTCCTTAATATTTTGTCTATTTGTGGGAATGTGTAGATATTGTTGAATTCATCTGTAAATTAGGCTCAGAGCTGTATAATAAAGTACTTGTATGGTAACCAGAGTTTCTTAGCTTTGATCTCTCCCATGTCTGCATTTTTTGGCCATTGAATGTGGTGGGTTTTTTTTCCTGACATGCATTGCCTCAAGTATTTTTTTTCCCACATTTACTCTAGGATTTTTCTTCCTGGACACCACTCACATATATTGCCCTATTTCCTTTACTATAAACAGGCAACAGATTGATTTCATGCTCCAGGCTAAGGCTGGCAATGTGTATTCACCACAACAGCACGTGAGAATTTTCATGTATATGTGTACATCCCTTCAATCACGTGTGCATTCAGACTTCCGGAAGCTCAGCAAGAGAGATATTATATAAATGTTCTTAGCATTTTATTATTTTGCTTGTATATAAACTGCCCAAAAAAATCATACTAAATTGTATACACTAGAAATTTTCCTATTGCATTTATAGAAGTGAAACTGTAACACATTTAATTCACTTTGCATTCTAAATTAACACATTAATGTTGGTTCTTTGATAGTATTTGTAATTATTTGTACATACTATTTGAGTGTGTTTAGAGTGTTTGGACTTGTTTAACTGTCTTTTTCTGTCTTTCAGTACTGCTGATCACTAACCTTATCTTAGCTCTCTGTGTCTCTGTCTGTGTAATAATCCCTAGGCCTCTAGTCTAAAAGGGTCACGCTTGAGCTTGCGCAACTTTGCATGCCTGACAGGAGTATTTCTTCCCCTAATGCCAGATCTTCCAGGAGGAAACTCTGAGCAATCATCGCAAGCTTTATTTTGCTGTCAACGAACCAGATGCTCTGGTTCCTGTTGTCTCACTTGAGGGAGGTGGTGTTAATGCTACTATCACCACACCAAACATTGCTGCCAAGAATGGAGTTATTCACATCATAGACCGTATTCTAGGCATTCCATCTCAGACTGTGTATGAGAAACTTGCCTCCGACCCCATGCTCAGGTAATTTATTGCTGATATTTTAATATTTTATCCGAATTCAGAATATTTTAAGTAATGAGAAAGATACAATTTTTTTTTATTTTCTATTGCATTTTCTGTGACAACATGAGAACCTCTTTTCACTTACTTTAAATTTTAAAATACATCTTTACATAACTTTGTAAAGTGATAGTTGATAATGCAGTTGCCCAATGTAACCCTCTGGTCAGTGATTTTAGAGTCAAATACAGGTATTTCATACACAAATAACCTGCACATAAAAGAGAGAAGCTTACAACGATGTTTCGGTCCAAGTCGGACCGAAACGTCGTCGTAAGCTTCTCTCTTTTATGTGCGGGTTATTTGTGTATCATTCCAGTCATGGTATTGTGCCTTTTTTGTTATTTACAGGTATTTCATGTTTTGGGGGGTTGTGTTCTGGGCAGTGGAGCTGTAATGAAAAATGGCATAACATATAAATCACTACACATTCCCTGACTCCAACAGATTTCTTGTCTATAAAGTTTTTTGATAGATATAAAATTTTTGTATTTTTTTTTTTACACTAAGGTGAGTGTTAATTTTTATTAATACAGTTGGGCACCATAAATACACAAAGACCTTAGCTTAGACTGCACCTGATTTTTAGTCCTACTGTATTTTAAAAATGGTCTTCCACAATATTTTTAAAATTTGTGCATTTTCTCTTTACATAGTTGGCTTATACTATGTATAGAGTACTGCATAATTGTTAAGCTGTGAAAAACCTATATAACAAAATCATGTTTTGTACAACTAACATTTTTATACTGCATGTCCAATCATTGATACACTAGACAAGAGGGATAAAGTTTTATACAATATAATGATGTGATAACTGCACAGCAATTTTTACAATTTCCAAAAAATGAGGAAGCTGACTTTAATGAAATTCCTGGAATTTTATTTGCAATTGAAACCATCACACACATCCCCTGCTCTGGGAATGAGTGCAGCAAATTTGGTATGGATTTGCTCATTTGTTGTTGCTGCTGCACTGACTGCAGAGACCCTATAATGAATTATTATTCCACATGTTTACAGGCACCAGTACAGTACGGGTCCCAACATATGAAGTCAATGCATTAAGAATTTTTTTTTTTTATTATCACACTGGCCGATTCCCACCAAGGCAGGGTGGCCCAAAAAAGAAAAACTTTCACCATCATTCACTCCATCACTGTCTTACCAGAAGGGTGCTTTACACTACAGTTTTTAAACTGTAACATTAACACCCCTCCTTCAGAGTGCAGGCACTGTACTTCCCATCTCCAGGACTCAAGTCCGGCCTGCCAGTTTCCCTGAACCCCTTCATAAATGTTACTTTGCTCACACCCCAACAGCACGTCAAGTATTAAAAACCATTTGTCTCCATTCACTCCTATCAAACACGCTCATGCATGCCTGCTGGAAGTCAAAGCCCCTCGCACACAAAACCTCCTTTACCCCCTCTCTCCAACCTTTCCTAGGCCGACCCCTACCCCGCCTTCCTTCCACTACAGACTGATACACTCTTGAAGTCATTCTGTTTCGCTCCATTCTCTCTACATGTCCGAACCACCTCAACAACCCTTCCTCAGCCCTCTGGACAACAGTTTTGGTAATCCCGCACCACCTCCTAACTTCCAAAACTACGAATTCTCTGCATTATATTCACACCACACATTGCCCTCAGACATGACATCTCCACTGCCTCCAGCCTTCTCCTCGCCTGCAACATTCATCACCCATGCTTCACACCCATATAAGAGCGTTGGTAAAACTATACTCTCATACATTCCCCTCTTTGCCTCCAAGGACAAAGTTCTTTGTCTCCACAGACTCCTAAGTGCACCACTCACTCTTTTCCCCACATCAATTCTATGATTCACCTCATCTTTCATAGACCCATCCTGACACGTCCACTCCCAAATATCTGAATACATTCACCTCCTCCATACTCTCTCCCTCCAATCTGATATTTAATCTTTCATCACCTAATCTTTTTGTTATCCTCATAACCTTACTCTTTCCTGTATTCACCTTTAATTTTCTTCTTTTGCACACCCTACCAAATTCATCCACCAATCTCTGCAACTTCTCTTCAGAATCTCCCAAGAGCACAGTGTCATCAGCAAAGAGCAGCTGTGACAACTCCCACTTTGTGTGTGATTCTTTATCTTTAACTCCACGCCTCTTGCCAAGACCCTCGCATTTACTTCTCTTACAACCCCATCTATAAATATATTAAACAACCACGGTGACATCACACATCCTTGTCTAAGGCCTACTTTTACTGGGAAATAATTTCCCTCTTTCCTACATACTCTAACTTGAGCCTCACTATCCTCGTAAAAACTCTTCACTGCTTTCAGTAACCTACCTCCTACACCATACACTTGCAACATCTGCCACATTGCCCCCCTATCCACCCTGTCATATGCCTTTTCCAAATCCATAAATGCCACAAAGACCTCTTTAGCCTTATCTAAATACTGTTCACTTATATGTTTCACTGTAAACACCTGGTCCACACACCCCTACCTTTCCTAAAGCCTCCTTGCATTAAGAAATCATCATAAATTGAGTGTTTCATACTCAGAACCATCTTAACATAGAAATCAGCAATGCAAATTCCAGTACCTAATTTTATTTTTAACTAAGAAAATTTAACCCAATAAATTTAGATTCATTATTGTTCATTGTTTACTTGTAAAAAGTATTAAACATTGTCTAATTAACCCTTTCAGGGTCCAAGGCCAAAATCTGAAGTGGTGTCCCAGTGTCCAAGAAATTTTGAAAAAAAAAAAAAAAAAAAATTCTTTTTTTTTTTTTACAGAATTAAAGATAATAATTTTTGTGAAGGTAATAAAACAAAAAAATATTTTTTCTGATCAGTACTTACCAAGATACAGCGGTGGGAAGTTGACCCAAAATGACCAGGTTGTGGCAACATCAGTGACTCGCAAAATCCCATATTTTTATTTTATGTTTTTTATACTTTTTTCTTTTCTTTTCTATTTTTTCTTTTTCTAATAACATTTGTTGCCTGTGAGACCAGTATAATGTATATTGTATAAGTGTACATTCATTGTATTCAACACAATAACTGCACTAATTTGTTTATCATTATATTGCTTACAAAACTTGTTTACAAGTTTATTGTAAACAAAATGATGAAAATATTAGTGTGGTTATTGTGTTGAATACAACGGTACCATATAGTACAATGGTACCATAGAGTGCAATGGTACCATATGGTACAATGGACCATATGATACAGTGGTACCTATTACAATGGACCATAGAGTGCAATGTCCATATGGTACAATGGCACATATGATACAATGGTACCATATGTAAATATGGACAATGACAGACATGGTACCATATTACAATGGTACCATATGGTACAATGGCACCATTTGGTACAATGGTACCATATGATACAATGGTACCATATGGTGCAATGGTACCTTATGGTACCATATGGTGCAATGATACCTATACAGTACAATGATACCATATGGTTCATTGTACCGTATGGTACTACATGGTACTGTTGTATTCAACACAATAAACACTAATATTTTCATTATTATTTTGTTTACAATAGTTGTTTACAACAAAAATATGCAAAAATGTTGTATATTAGTAATGTTCTATTATATATTTACAAGTGTACAGGAACTTGACATGTTCCTTGAGGTAGATGACAAAGCACTTTGCCTCGGAAACTGCGGAGTCAGTAGCTAGCTTGCGTCACCACTCACTCAGTCTTAGCTGGTGTCTCATACCACTAACACCTATTGACCATATGGTACACGGTATCATATGTTACAGGGTATCATATGTTACAGGGCACCATATGGTACATTGTACTATATGGTATAGGGTACCATGCAGTACAGGATAACATATGGTACAGGGTACCATATGGCACAGGGAACCATATGGTACAGGGTACTATACAGTACAGAACACCATATGGTACAGATACAGGGATAACTATGGAAATAAGTCACCCTGACTTTTTTGGGTTATCCTAGGATTTTATATGTATGCTGCTATGTACGATAATCTATGTAACTGTATTTCTGTACACCTGAATATACTTACTTAGGTGCATGTGGCATCATAAGTAAGTTTATTTAGGTATACACAAATAAAGTTACATAGAATATCACACTTAGCAGCATATGTGTGGACAGTGTGACAGTGTCAGCGTGCCTCATTGTGCTCCGGGTTTTCTGGTGTTTTCACGGTCGCTCTTACGTGCTAGAACTTTAATTTGTGTCATCAATCCTATACGATACATCCCTCTAGCGCCTGGAACCAATCTTGGGCGGAAAACATTATATACTGAGTCAAAAAAGGAGAATTAGTGTGCACTATCCTAGCAGAGTTTACTGCCAGAGGGGAATCATAGGCCTGTGTCCCGTGTGAAAAAAATAAAACTCAATTTGATACTTTTTTTCATTTGCATAACTCTTATATATTACAGAAACAATAGAAGATTAACATACAAATAAAATGAGTTAAGCTTGCAGAAAAGTACATTAAATTCACCATTCACATCGTTATGAAGCGGGAGGAACTAACTGAGAGACAGAGAGGTGAGCAGTAGTATTTCAGTATCTGGGTCATCATGGGTGTCAGATGTTAAGCCATGGCATAATAAAAATGTGTGTAATTACGCTAATATTAGTAATAAATGTAATTATTAATTTATTCCAAATGATATGAAAAACACAATACCCTAGAGCTGTAATAAAGATGCTGAAATTAATATTACATGTATGCCTATTATGTATTGGTGTACAAGGGCCAGACAGCCACTCTGGGAAAAAATCGTTAGATCATTTCTTGGTACTTGGTTTATAACAAAAGAACCTGGTGTTTACATCAGGGCAAACACTCCTTGATCACTTTGGTCATAAGAAAAAATGCAAAAATAGCATTTATTATTTTAATAAATTATAATAATTATTCATAAGAAAGAATTAATAATAAATAAACGATCTGG